GGAGGCTACTAGGAACAAAGAGCATCGCTACTAGTAGCAAGGACGCTGCTAGTAGCGCCTGGCCTTACTACTAAAAACAAGGACGCTACTAGGAACAAAGAAAACCCCGGCAGCCGATCCTCCAGGCTTTATGAACACAATTCGATCTACGAGCTCTGAGTGTTTGCAAGAGACGCTCTCAGGAAAGAGACATCTCTGAACCAACAACACAACCTTCTCCAACTCACATCTCAGGGGTTCAGTGAAAGGATCAGATCAATAGTGCAAACAAAGCTCCATGACCAAACAAGCCAGCAAAAAAAGAGTGAACGGAAAATGAGGAAACATCCTATGCCGGCGCCTTTCTCCAGGCAGACTTGAAGCCCACGATCGAGCAGAAAAATTGGAAAATCTTGTTCCCGCGCGGATTTGGCCACCGCGGACTCACCAGGAATCACATTCTTGCTTAAGATCCTGGCTTCTTCCTGCTGTTCTCCCTGGATTGTTGCTGCAATATCAAGCTCCATACTAGGATTCATCACAGCAGAATAGAGCTCATAGTCACACCAAATTCGCGAGAAAGGAGTTGCATTCTCGTCCAGAATCAGCAACAAACCCCTGGACGCACGCAAGGCTGCAAAAAAGGACGTTTGAATGACATCCTCAGCGATTTCCAAGTCTAGTTCATGCTGGCGATTTGCATAACCGCAGACCCAGTACGAAGCAGAGCTTCCAAGGCGTCGCAAGATTGCATGTTCCTGACAGCATAATATAAAAGAATGAAGTGGCTCTCCCCACCAATGAGTGCAGTACCACACAGGCAAACATGCTTCGGATGACAACAATTCTTTGTAGCTGATGGAATTTCGAGCTATCACGCTCATGTCGCTCGCTGGCAGTTCATCTTCCTCATCGAAGAGAACTTCAGAAGACATATTCACAAAATGTCCTCAGGGTCATCATGTGATATCACTCGCCAAAAAAAGGTGAGGTGAAGGCTGTAGAGAACTGGAACAATCTAGTGGAAAGAAGTTGAACTGCTGGCAAGGCTTACTGAATTTGTTCAATGGTTGAAAACTGCTGTGGTGTGTTTGGCCTCCAACCCAATAGCGACGACCTCCAACCTATTAGTGGCCTCCTACCTGGTCATTTCAAGTCTTGTATTTGACTCGAGTCCTCGGAGAAGGCAAACCCAAACGTTCAATTTCTCAACATCATCCTCCACTTCCAGTTGGGCACGTAGAACTGTTGCTCTGGCCTTGGGAAGTGCCATTCCACTACATCGTTGGCAAACCTCTTGCCCGGCTTTCGGTAAGGCTTTCAACCCCTTCGCGCAGGAAGCCGGCCATTGCAACAAAACACCCTCTTGTGGAGCGGTCTTGGGCATGATGTAATGATAGTTGAACTGGTAAAGGTTCAGTTTTTTCTCAGAGATCACATCTCCTGTGTGAGCGTCTTTCCATCCGTGACACACCTGAGGTAATTCATCCAAAATGCCCGAGAGCTCTTCAACGGTAACAGCTCGCTCGAAGGTCTTCAAGTTGGTCCGTTGGTAGTGGTGAAGCACTTCCACAGAGCTGTCAGATGCAGTGTCATCTCCATCACGAGCTCCATCAGCAACCACAGACGTCTTCTGCCGCGAGAAATGACTGGTCGGCCGCACACTCTCCTGAGCTGCCAAAGTGAACTGCACCGCAGCGAGATCTTTGGCGGTTTTTTTGCATCAAGCCTTTCATCTGCAACAGGGCGCTGTGAATCCATTCTTGCTCCATCTGTATTCGGACCATATCTACAGCCGTGGCTCCTCCCCGGAGCCGCAAGCAGCCCAAGAGAAAATCGGACTCTTCTATCGCCCCAGTCTTGTCAGATGCCAGGATTTGAAACACCTGCAATGCGAAATGTAATGTCCAAAGCGAACAAGATATCTTTCTGGGAAGTTTCAATGAAGGAAAGTGCCTTACGACGGAATATATCGGAATATACGATTGTAAAGACACGACTCAGAGCAAGCCGCACCGCACCGTTGGGCGCGCCGGACGAAAGTATCGCACCGGTACACGAAGCGGTAAACTGCACGACTCAGCGTCGCTCATATCTTGCTGTTCCCTCTCTTTTAGTACGCGAAACAATTACCTAAATAAGGGGTCATTGGAAACAAAAGAAAAAGAAAAGGTCTACCAAGTAACTGCCTAAGATCGAAGTTTCCGAAAAATAAGGTCTTCAAGCGAACTTCTGCGCTTCTGCCCCCTGCTGGGCTTCCTTGAAGGACCTCTCTACTGTGTCCTTACTATTTGGAAAAGGGAAAAGAAACGAAAAGTGGCCATTCTCTTGTTCCTACTAGTAAGGCACTTGTTTCTAGTAGCGTGGCACTTG